ATAAGGAAATCAATATTTTTATTAGAAGCCCTTTTTCATGCTAAATGTAAACAGATAATTCATAAAAATGTATAACTACAAGAAAAGGAACTATAGTTTGACTTGACTCCATTTACAAGTTAATGGCCCAATCAGTTCATTTGATATGTTTACCTAAAACAACTATATCAGAGATACAAAATTTTTAAAATTCAAGCTTAAAAAATGGCATGTTATCATATGCTTCATAACAAACAGTGCGATTGTAGAAAATCAAATATTTCAGAAAGCAATCTTACAGTACACTATCATGTTTTATTTTTCTATGTAAACATTTCTTGAGGTTATTCATCAATAAAAATTTATTTAAATAAAAATTTAACGAAAAAAGTGAAAAATATTTTGTATTTTGAAAACAAAATGAATTAGTGACAAAAAGTATTCCATTCCCATTTTACAGATTTTAACAAAGAATTTTATCACTATTTTACTTTGAAATTATGTATAACAGTAACCTTTTTATAATCAAAAAAAAATTTAGGATTCGAAGGGAAACTTGAAAATTTTTTGATATGAATTGTTTAGTTACTAAACTTATTAAGCTTTATACAGTAATTTTTTACTTTTACAAAAAATACATTTATTACAGAGACTTGTTATGTTTGCATGTTACAGACATGCAAACTGTTCCTTTATACATTTTTTGCAGGATAAACAGAGAAAACTACTCCTCACAGAAGCTATTATTTAGATTAAAAATTAATCTCTCAATTTTTATCAAGTTAAGTATCAAATTTAAAGTATCAGGTAAATACTGCATGACTAAGATTACATTTGCATCATTGTCTGAAATAATAACACGATAACTTCTTTAAAAAATTTATTTTACTGCTGTAAAAGTTTTAGAAAAAATCTCTTAGGATTTTAATTTTAAAAATTGCCTTATTACTGTTTATTGTTATGCCCCTTCCCTTTAAAAAAAGGAATAAACAAGTTATAAATTTTTATTTACACAATAAAGTTTTTAATTGCAATATTTAGTTTGGAATTTTCAATAAACAATCTTTCTTGAAATAAAGTTAAGAATGAAATCTTAAAGTATATAATACATATTTGTTCATTATAAGCTGTGTATATTTACATTTCATCATAAAGTCTATGAAATATATACAATTCCAATTTGTAAATAATTTAAAAGCTTAAAAAAAAGCTTGGAAATTAAAAACAGAAATTTTTATCATTACATATTTTTATCATTACATAAATGACATAACCTTTCATTTACCTTAAGAAAATGGGTAATGCATAAAATTATGAGTATTAAGTATTATGTAATAATTTAATTTTCAGATAAAAACATGCATAGTTTATTATGATTTTGACCTCTAGTAAAGTGTAAGCTGTTTCTGTACCTGTGTTTAAATATATGAATACAAATACATATTTTTATAAAAATGTTCTGTTATAAGACTAAAAAAACATGTTATACAGAAGATGGTGTATAAAAAGATTGATCACAGGTATTTATTATGAAAGAGCACTTTAATAAAAAAAGTGAAGGAAAAAAAACAATGAATTTCCTCAGAGTTGCAAATGTCTTCACCCATTAAATACCAGCTCTAACAAGAAAATCATACTATCTCTAACTATTCAAAGACTAAACTTAAATACACAAACAAATTACATACATATTTATATATATGCACCGAACAAAAGGCAGGAACATTCATTTAATCAAACTAGTCATAAGCATTAAAGTGTTTAAAGCACATTTGATTTGAAATGCATATTTAAATATATTGCATGTAAAGATGTAAAAATTTAATTCAACTATTGTAAATAATTAAAAATATTGCAACATTGAAAAAATTTCTTTTCACAAAATGCGTATAAATATATATATAAAAAAACTTATAGTAATCTAAAATTATAAATAATAATAAGAAGGCTATTCTTTCAAATTTCATGTGGCCAAATAGCTTTGCAACACTCGGATCAAAAAGCGGAAATTGTAGGCTCTTCTAATTGTTCTCAAAATTCCATTTAAGACAAATATTTTTTTTTAAAATCTTGCTTGCCTAAATTTTTTTTTTAAATCTTTCTTGCCTTAGAATAATATTTATGGAAGTTATGGTTAAATATAATTTTAAAGCTCTAGCCCACATTTCATACAAAAATTAGCTTTTAGTGGAATGTTTCGAAAACATAATGGAATGTAATTTTGTTTGAAAGTTTCATTTGTTCAGACAAAATATCCAAATAAATGTTTTTTAGATCTACTATTACGTTATTGCCTAAATATAATAATCATATAAAATTTTAACTTGGTCAAAAGTTTGAAATATTGTCTTTAAAAGTCCCTTTGAACAATGTATAAGCAAACTCATCTTTACATAGTACAGTGTAATATACATAATGCAAATCTAGAAATATGAGGTTTAGGGTTATATAGATCATGTCATATACCATTAAGTTTTACCTTTTAAACATTGTGATACATATCTAGAACAGATCAATATTTAAATGTTCTAAAATAATTTTTAAATGCAAATTATTTTAAAGCATAAAGACTCACACTTAAAATACACTTAAATACTTCTTGATTACACAAAAAAATTAACAAAAAAATTTAAATTAATAACAAATAAAATTTTTAATTTTGGTTTGCTATAGAAATTTTAACCTCATAGCAAATAATTTTTCTTCCAGCCAGTGAATAGTTAATAGTTCCTAATCAGTTTCAGAATTGTCTTTAATGGAATTTCCATTGCTTACACCTACAATATTAATGTAGTTAAGGAGAATTGCAGTTTATATAATTACGTATTACTGATCTTCTGTAGTTAAAAAAAGTGCTTTAGCTTGTATGAAAAGTTCTTTCTTGTGGACTTCTCAGGAAAAATATAAATTAATTTTTAAAAAAATATGTCTAAAAAATCTATAACATTAGCTGATATTTATGATAAATAAAAAGTATAAAAAGCATAGGATTGCATTTTTAAAACTTAAAATTAAATTTGCTTTCGTCTTACAGAATTAAGAACTTTTAATTTATTTTTTTATTTTATTTATAGTTTATGGCTAGTGAGGATCTCCTGACGAGGAACTTTTGCACTACATAACATGACTGGATATATTCCATTCATAAGGGTGTATTAGTCAAAAATCAAATGCTAATTTTTTTGAATTTCCAATTAGATCTCTCAACTAAATTTGAAATTAGAGCAAAATTAAATATTTAATTTTTTTAATAAACAAACTTTTTTTGTTATATAAGAATTCATCCTGTTAACTACTTTAGCAGTTTTTCTGACCCTGATATGCTAAAAATTGATATAAAGCTCAACAAAAGTAAACATTTTTTCTAATTTGCATACTTAGAAAATAAAAGAAAAAAGAATTCAATTCAAATATTTTCTAAAAGATTAACAATTTTATCAACTTCTGAAAATATTTTTAAATTATCATAAATCAAAATTATACGGAAATTATACTTGAGATAAATGCTATAAAGTACCTTGAAAGCATTTTCTCATTTACTCAAAATTACAAAGGTTATACAAACCAGACAGTAATATACTCTACAAATTTAAAAGAAAAAAACTCATACAAAATTAAAACTTAACACTAATCATACCATAACCGGCCAAAAGACCAAGTTTTTGTCAGTAGCATTGTATTGTATTGAAAAGTGTTGGTATGTTTAGTGTTAAAATATGTATCTAAATTTAGCTTCTTAGTCTTAATTCAAACTTTTAATTTTATAAATATAACTAAGTTTTAATTCTTATTTTTCTTCAATGTATCATATCAATTTTATATAGATTAATGTATAGATTTTATATCAAGATCAGAAAGCAATACTCTCAAATAAAAATAGAAAATTATGTAACAAAAAAATTAGAATTAAGAATAAGGTTTTAGGCAATAAAATGAAGAAATTTTAGAGAAATGCTATACAAAATAAATTGTTTAAGTTTGAAAGAAGTAGGAAATAAAAGATTCAATAATTGTTTGTACTATAATGCATAAAATAACAAGATATAATTAATTAAATATTATAATTACTTTCAATTAGCTTCATAGAAAATTTAAAATATTGATCTCTAAAACAATTGCACATCTTTGACTCAATAAAATAAATATTTTTACTTGTAAACTTAACAAAAATCTTCACAAATGTAAAATAAAGATGAATTCAATAAAATGCAAATTTTTACACAAAAACACTTTACACATAAGTGGAATGAAAGATATATTTACAGCAATAATATATATACAACGGTGAAATGATCAACAAAAATTCATCATGCATGCAAAAGAAAAAAATCGTAGAACATGGGAGATATTACATCACATGGATAAACACATAAGGTTTAAAGTGCTTCTACATTATTTAACATTATTAAATTACATTATTAAACAGAACTTTGAATTATAAGGACAAATCTTGAATGATTAATATTATTTCATGATTAAATCTTTAAAATAAATATTTTAATTGATATCATAATCAAAATCATAAGTATTTTATTGAACTTAAAAATGAAGAATGCTTATTTTGCTCTTATTTTCCAAGATGTCCTATTTTTATTTTTTTATAACTTATTTCTTAAGCGAAAATATTTTATAAATTATTACTAAAATAATTTTTACCGAATTTTAAAATAATTCCTGAAGTATAAATGATAAAGCTCTGACCTGAAAATGTAATGCCATAGTAATATAAAATTTCAGATTTTAGATTCTTTTTTTAATTTATGTGCTTAAATTTCTCTAATTTCGATACAAAAACAATAAATTCTTTAAAATTACAATTTAAAACATTTTTTCCTTATTTAAAATAAATCCGGAATAACAAATTTTGATAAATGAGAGGAATAATAGTTATATCCTCTAGTTCATTCCTGTTATATTTTCAGTTAATTTTTAACACAGTAAATGTATTTTAATAATATTTTATTTGGAATGACGTTATTTTTAAACTTGTGTATGTTTTTTATATTTTTAAAATAATTTTTTCATATGTTTCATAAAATGATTTAATGCATAGCTTAAATCATTTTTTATAATGTTTCTAAAAAAATGAATAAAATGACTTTGTTTTTATTGCAAGCAATTTAAATTGATTAGGCACTTAGCTGAGGGATTGGGTTCATAATTTTGCAGAATTCCATCTAAATTTATTTTTGTTTTATTACTTTGATTATTATTGTGCTGTTTTACTGCATGTTACACTATTTTATATCCTGCATTGTAGCTTTTTATTATGAATGATCTGATTTCAGAAAATTCGTGAAATTACATACTCATATCTTTTTGGAGCTAGTGTGTATAATAATGATTCTTTTTGAAAATAAACATTTCCATTTTCGTCAAAATTTAGACAGCAAAACATAAAATAAGTCAAATTAGCAGTTAATCCCAATTGTAAATTTGGATACTCATATTTCTGGTCAAAAAGAATTAAAAGGAATAATATATTCTATACACAAACAGTACAAAAAAGTGTTTTAATAACAAAGTAAAACTATATTTTGAGTAATTGTTAAACAAAGTTTTATTTTGTAACGTAAGAATTCTTAATTTTTTTACCCTTTTCTTAATCTTAGTACCTAGCGCTGTTCTTGTTTCTAGCTGTGTTCCTAGTACCTGCTTTTGATTTAAAAAAGAAAAAGAAACACCATTATGATTAAAGTGAAAGGCAGTTTTGAAAAAAGGATTACATTATAATTTTTTTTAAATGTCTTCATGAATTAGTGGTATATGAACTGCAAATTACAAAAAAAGGATTGGTATCTAGATCACTTTTAGTAATTAAAAACTCATTTAATAATGGGATGATTCACAACATCTGACTAGAAAATTTGAGGTATATAGCACCCAATAATTTAACATTCTTGATAATAATTTACAATACATTCAGTTAATCTTTCATATTCACAATTATTTAATTCTTCGTTCTTAAAAAAATGAAACATTGTTGTTTACATCACAATTTATATGCAAGATTTACTGCAATAAAAAATTCTTATGAAAAAGGAAATAATTTAAACTTTGAGTTTCTGACTAACAACTCGATCTCTACTAGACTCTCTTTGCATGCTTCTCCACTGCAAGTTATCACCAGTAGAATTACTTGAATGATGTACTAGCATTGTTTGACTTCCTTTCCTTCGGTTTCTCCGGCTTTTTGTAAAATCTTCCCCAAATACATCACCAGTTCTGAGAGCTGATATTAAATCATCAAATTCTCCTTTTTCAGAGCCAGCTTTAATTGCTTTTATTCCATTAATACTGCCATTTCGAACTCCTGATGATCCTTTGGATCCATTTTCTTTATTTGATCTATCAGAATGGATTTTACGCTGAAAGAACAAATTTATGCTATTAACTAAATAGATTATTAGCAGATTAATATAACTGAGAATAATGTACCCTACACATATAACTACACTTATGTGTACTGATTCAAATTGGGCAAAGATTATTATAGAACAGTATTTAAATAATTTCTAAAGGAATAATCTATAATTTGTATTCAATATAGTTACTTAAATAAATTCATGATCAGATTAATGTAAACAAATATTTCAGATATTATTCATATTCATCTCCGTTGACGATTTCATTTTTAAACAATTTCACTCATGGTTGACATTTAGTCAGGAAAAAACCTATATCTTCTAGGACACTGGAAAAAACTGGTCGGAATACCTTTTCTCATTCAAGATATCTCTGCGATATTGAATAAGAACATCTGTGAGATATCCAGATAATATATAAAATAGATATCTGGGTGAGGTCCTTTTATCAATGTGATAAAAGGACCTCAATGTGATAAAAGGAATGTGCTGAATATCTCATGATTATCTATGATAAGTCATATATATTTGTCAGATGTCTCTGGGATGTACAGCAGATAGCACAATACAAAAATATCTATTGGACATCACACAGTTGCAATCCCTGGACTTATAGCATACTTCCTAAATATTCAGATATCTTCCAGATCTCTGTTGGACTTGAGAAAATTCAGCTCTTTTTTGTATAAAAGATTTCTCAAAAATTACTTTGGGATATATACAGCTTTGTGGATTATAAGGAAAATAACTTTAATTCAACTTTACTAAACAAAGAATCATACTTTAAAATATCAAGAAATTTTCTCAGAAAGCGTAGAAAGTTGGCAGCCGTGAAACACTTATTTTACCTCAGTGTCTTGTTTTGCTCTTTTTACTTCGTCTTCTCGTTTGCGACGAAATGCTTCATTGTCTTGACGAGCTTCATTAAATGAAGTTAGAAAAATATCGAAGATAGCAAAGAATTCATCAGGTTGCATGTGAGATGGATCTTCACCAAAATGCTTCACAACTTGATCATACTGAAATTTTAAAAAGTGAAAATAAACACAAAACCTTTACAAAATCTGATTGATAGTGCTATTAGAAATTTTTATTATTCATATGAACCTTTCCTTACTTACCCTTTGTTTCATTTCTTGAAAAGCATCTTCTAATTCAGATATTCTATATGTTGCGGTTGTAATGAATTCCTTCATAACTGGGACAAATTTATCACCATGTTGAGGGGGCTGAGAACGGTGAAACTCAAGTTCCTGGAAACAGAAACATGTCATTTAGAACATTGTGGTTTTAAGAGAGGTTTGATAAGTTTCCTGCCAGATTGTAACACCAAAAATGTTCCTAATCTTTGAGACATTTACAAAAGCATTGTCAAATTTTTGCTTACTTCAAAACCAAAAATCAAATTTATGATTTCTACTAATCATCCCAAAAACTTTTCATTAGTATTTCTGATTTATATTTCATAGCAAAAGTCTTCATATGCTACAATGAAAAAAATTTCCTATCAATTAATTACCAAGATAAAGCTATTATATCAGAGATTAAAGACTAAGAAAAATAAATAACTGCTAAACAAATTCTAGATTACATTTTATTAATAAATAGGATATCCTAACATGATAATTAAAATAAAAGAAAAATTGCATAATTCTACTGCTATATAATTTTAAAAGTAAGAATCTTTAAAACTTTGCATTTACAGCTCAAAATATAGCAACAGAATTATAAAATTTTTCTTTTGTGATAAATGTGATCTTAGGATATCACACATATTAGTAAAATGCAATTATCACATCTTTTTTCTGAAGCAATTTTCTTCTACCGAAAGATATTCATACACACTCCTACATCCTCAGAAATTCTACCACTCATTTTCTAGTTTGCAGTGCATGCATATATGTCTTCACCCAAAGAGCATGAAAATGCAAAGTGGCAAATTTGAAACTCACTCGACTGGTCAGGTGAAAATTTACTATAATAAAGCAGTTTTTTAGAACCCAGAAATTGAATTTCAAAAAAACTTGTAAACTTCAAGTGTGTTTTTGGCACAAACTACTTAATTTAATAAATTTTTATGCAAAGTTGAAAATTTTAAAGTGAAATTTTCATTAATGTATCTTAATTATTGAAACTACATTAAAAGCAAATCTTGTAACATTCTTACATAAGTTTAGTAAAAAACATTTTTTAATGTAAAAGATGATGGAGGAATCTGATGTTTTATATTTATTTAAGCTTTAATATTTGACTTAAAGTTAATCAGGCTTTACCATAAATTTTCTCAACTAGTATTAAAAATGTGTTATTTTATGAAAAATGTTGGCAGCTGCAGTGAAACCCTTTATGAGAGACATGAAATTTAAAGCTATTCTTGTGATAGTCAATAACTGTTATAGATAAGTAACAATTATATCTCTTGAAATTTAGAATCCCTAATAAGCCTTTTAAGACTATAACTTTTTTTATCATTTATCCCAAGAAGTTCTTGGATTGGTAAACTACTGTTTTATTTCTAGAGTCAAAATATCCTCAAGACTGGTTTGAAAGGCTGTATAAAAGTTCTTTAAATAAAAGAGCAATACAACAAACTCAAGAAGTTTAAAAAATATATTAGTAGGACTTTAACATAATCATGATCTTTGTATAATCAATGAACTCTAAAAAAACAAATTTTTTTATTTTGTCAAATAAAAAATATATTACTTTGGTTCACTATTTATTTAAATATTTTATACCTTCCCTTAAATATAGACAATGAATGTGCAATACAAATATTCTAAGAGTGAGCTGCTTATTTATAAAACTTGAGTATACAGTATATAAAGAATAGAATGTTTTCACCTGAACTCAATCAGATTCCAGAATTTAGAGGTGTCACAGAGAGATTTTTAGGACTTACAAGAAAGGCTAGGCAAGTACTCTTTGAGCTGCCAAGTTCAATGTACTGTAAGAAGTTGTAGCTTTTAACTATCAACAATTTGTGATACAAAGATGAAATTTGATAGAATACTCAGCTTTTGGACTAGCTTCTTATATAATCACTGGGAAGATGAATATTGATATGAAGTAACTTCAATAAAATCTTTACTGTTGTATTTGAAAAAGCGAAATTAAAACAAAGAAAATAAAAAAAGTTTGTGTTTTCTGCTTTAGTTAATTTCTAGGTCATAAAATCATAATTTAAAAAAAACTCTTGGACTCTTATCACATAATTTATAAAATATTATTCAAAATAATTCACATTTTATAAAATTAAACAACTTCCAATTCTCCCAGAAAATTTTATTCCGTGGTTGGAACTTGTAATGGAGAATTTATGTCTGAATGTCCTTCCTGCTTAGGAAGCATTCATACTGCATGCGATAGCCCTAGACACATGTCTTAAAGTTTAGAAACTACGTGTAAGATGCCAATTGCACTGATTTAAGGTCACATATGTGGGTCCCATGCAGTGAGAATGTTCAATTCTTTATATCTGTTTATGTTCTTATGAATATGGGGTCTAATGCAATGACTAACCAGTTACAATAAGAAACAACAAATTATAAACTATTTGTACTAGATAATATCTATTTTGGTTGACAATAACAATTCAAGTAATTAAATAGATTAGTTTAAAACAAAATTTGTGTGGAAATATTTGACTGGAAATAACAACAAAAACAAAATATATTTTAAGAAACTGTGTACCTTTTGCACTTCCTGCAACCCAAATTTCAGGCTCTGTATTTCTTTTGTGAGCTCATTGAGGCTAGATATATAAGAAAGGAATTATGAACACTGAATAGTTATTTACATTTGCAGAAGTAAATACTACTTAAGATTTAATTAAAAATATTTGCGAAAATAAATGAAAAAACCAAATTGTACATTTTTTGAAATTTTTTTTTAAGAAAGCATGAGAATAAAAGATTATTTTGAATATGTTTTAAGAAAGACATATTCAATACAAAAGTATTCCAAACTTGAAGTTTGAGAGGACAAAACTTATTTTGTGGTGCGCTATATGTAAATGCTTTTTAAATAATGATTTCTCAAAATAACTTTTCCTATATTTAATGAAAACCCTGCTTCACTTGAATAAAAGTCTGTGTATAAAGGTTCAAGAAGAATTTCCTTATAAGAATAAGGCATTTTAAAAACTACAGAGAGAATGGAAGGGTTGGGGCAGAGAGTGCCTTAGCCCCCTCACATTTTGTATGCAAGCCTTTTAAAGACTACAATTTTTCAATAAATATTCTTGTATAACTAAATAGATAATTTTTGTATATAAAAATAGATAAGTTTTTTGTCGTAATTAGAGAAAAAGAAAAATGACTGTTTCATGAGAGCTTTCAAATCATCCCATACATCCTTATGCTGAATGGGGGGAAAATTCTTAATTTCAAATATCATAGCAGAAAAAAAGTGCATTGTTTGAAGGAGGGAAAGTGGAACATGGTCTGCCATTCGGGATGAGTTCGAGCTCACTTATGAAGGTCCTGACCTGAATTATATTCCAAACGCACCAGAGTCTGAGATACATAGGATTATTTAGAGCCAGAGCCATTAGGTCTTACCATTTGGCCTTTGATGCCTAAATAAGGAAATTAGTCATTAAAACCTTTTTCTCCTCTAATCTGTAAAACAAAATACAAAGAGAAAAACTGAATCAACTGAAACTTTCGGATGACTAAAACAAAAATTATGAAAGAAGATCAAAAAGTAATTTGACAATTAGTGTTACCCTCACAAAGCAAAAGTAGATCATTAATTTTTTTACGTATAAATTTTACATTTATTGAGCCCAACCAAAACCTTTTTTCAATAACCAAACTAGATGCTGAGCGTATCACATCTTTATCTCCCATATACGAATTTTAACCCATAGAATACAATTATGAGAGTCATATGAAGTTTTGTTTAGCACTGTCAAACACTTTTGATTCCAGGTGTCTTAAGTGAACTATATACAGCGCCTACTTTAGATTTCTTACTGAAGGTAAGTAAATACAATATGAAATTTAATTACCAATATTATAATATGGGATTTATGTATAGTATTATTTGATTTATTTTTCTGGTTTTCTAATGTACAGTGCACATAAGATTTAGGCATTTTTTCTTTTACAAAATTAAAACATAAGTTCGCATATTACCATATAATATTTCTATTTTGTGTGTATTAGTACACCTAAATTTCTATCTTATGTCTCTTTATCTTTGAAAAGTAAAAAAAAAAAAGTAAAATTAGATAATTTTTGTATTTAATTTTTTTGTACAATTCTAAAAGAAAAAAAAAGACTATTTCAAGAGAGCTTTAAAGTTTCCTTAGCTGGAACTGCAACCAAATCATCCCTTACTCATTCCCCGCAAAAGGCAATTGGCTTCCCTATATTGACTGATGGGAATATTCTTAGTTTCAAATGCCTAAGCAGAGAGAAAAAGCATGGGAAGAAGAGGACGTGGAACAAGGTTTCTTATTAAGGACTTGTTTGAAACCAGGCAAAGCAAATCAAAGCCAGAGATAAATAGAATTACTTGGAGCCTGGGACATACTTCAGATGAAGGTTTAAAAGGAAATTAGTATCAAATTTCTTCATCTATTCTTTGTGCATGGTTAATATTATAATTTTTAAAGCTTAAATGAATATCATTGTGCAAATAGTTTATCTAATCATTGTCACTCTATGTCATTGTTCTAAAAACTTTTTATGGAGTTATTCTAAAAACATCCTAAACAATTGTTATTCTTAAAACAATTTCTGGTGTTATTAATGTACCCCTCCTGTAAATGGACAACCCTTGTCAGAAGAAAATTTTTTCCCATTGGACAATTTTATCCCGAGAGTGTCCACTTAATCAAGGTTTCCTTAGATATCATATATTAACTATACCTTGAAAATTTGAACAATTGCCAGTAGAAAAACAAGCTGTTAGATAAAACATAGGTAAAAATATGCCTTCAGAGAAGATATTTTAAATTAAATTTATTTAAGTTATATAGAAAGGAATCCACAAAAAAACTCTAAAGCTTAGCTCGAGGGCAACTCTAACTCATGGTTTATCAATCACTGAAAATATTTTACATCACTACTGTGAACAGCTTGAACCAGTCATTACCGGGATTAGGATTTGCCAATGGTTTTCCTCTCTTTGTCATTTTTCTTCCTTTTTCTGTCACTTTACAATATTTAATTTTTTTGAGATAGCTAAAAAACTACAGCATGCCAAAAACTTTTTACAATACGAAGTAAAAGTTATATGTGAGGTAAAAGTAGTTGTTTTTAATACGAAATGAATTTAGAGGAATATAATTTTAAACAAATCAATTTATATGATAAGGATTGAGATGTGGTACTGACAACTTAGCTTTTTTTTTAACTGGATTACTAAAGAATGATTTGCTTTTTTTTGTAAAGTAATAAATTTTACTATTCATCAGAGATCATTTTCTTCAATTGTCTGAAATTAAGAAATAATAAATTTCTTTAAATGTTTCATACAATTTTTATTTACTAAAAGCATCTTTATCAAAGAAAAAGCGCTATTATTGAAAAAAATTCAAAAATATTGCCTGCTATACAGTTTTTTTATATGATAAAATCAGAAATTAAAATGAAATTATTTTTCAAGAATAATGAGAAATTTAGAATAAAAAAAATTGTGAGAAAAGGATATTTACTTTTTTTTAATTTCGCAAAAAGTAAACATTTTCAAAGCGTGCAGTTAAAAAAATTAATAAAATTTATATCAATTAGATAAAATAATATATTTCATTTTAAACCTATGTACTAATTTTGGCTCATGAAATTAATTGATAACTAAATTAATTAGTCAGTATTGAAACTGGCTAATTTCAATTTCATACATTTATTAAATTCATCATAATCTCATTTTAACCAAGATGGTGAAGATTAATACTGTGGTAGATTTATAGCTTGATTTAATTTCAAGTAGTATGTCTTCTTTGTCTTAAATCACCAGAGTAATAGAAAAAATTTAAAATTTTCTTGCACAAAATTCCTCAATGATCCAGTAGTTGAAAAAAAGAATTTCCTTTTTTTTCATCAACTTTAAATTTTTGTATCCTTGTCACTCTATTGTTTCTGAATTTCTTATACACCACTGTGGATAATTTTAACTTTAATAAACAAGATCAACATATTTTAATAGCTTTAATAGAGCACACCTTGAAGTTACAGTTGCCAGACAAGGACAGAAATATAGTATGTCTGCTTTTCTAGAGAATAGTTAGTACAATTCTATATTAATTTTTGTTATGATAGAAATTCTGCAGAGTGATTATCTTGAAATATCTAATTTTATTCAACAAAAAATTATTCAATATGTTAGAATCATTATATCAAATAATTATGTTCTTACTCTTACTTTAAAGTAATTAATTTGGAATGAAATAAGCAATAGTAAAATACATTTTGACATACAAATTAAGTTACATATAATTCGGAAACTCATATTAACTTAAAAAGAGCATAAGGATTTTAAGGAATTTAAAATTTAAAGAAAGAATCTTTAGTTAAGAAAATTGAGAAATTTCTCACGAAATAAAATATATGAGTAATACACACTTGACTTTTGCTGCCAGTCTAACATGATGAATATCTTCTTCAATTTTTAAAACGTCTTTAAACTGTAAAAAAAAATTATTTTACTTGTTTAATCGTTTCACAAATTTTGGGAGAATATTTCTTCTTTAATAATATTTCTCTTGCTAATTACATGAAAAAAAATTATTTTCTAACTCAGAGAAGACTACAGATTAAATCTTAAAAGGTTAATAAATAAATAAATGAAATATAAAGTTTACTTTAATTTGATTATGATTTTAAACCAATCAATTAGAAGCAAAAATTTTGATACTGTTCTATTTGCTATTATCAAAAAATGTACCTTACATTCTTAGTAATCACACACTGAAAAAATTTGCTACTTTTAACTCTGGTTACTGCCTGAAAATCCGATTACTAGATGATCAAAAGTTATTAACGTGTTCTCTTTTTTTTAGCTCTGTGCATTCATTAGAAACCTGATAAAATACATAGAAAAAAAACTGCTGCTTTAAAGGAAATGCCAGATTCAGCTGCAATCATTACAAAGTCAAAATCTACACTGTTAAAAATTTGGAGAACTTTATAGATTTGGTCATTAATCTCTGGAACTTATAGGAAAATTTTAATGAAATTCGTTTTGGATAAGTTGATATAATATTTAAAAAAAACATTCGATGGTTATAATATACATCATGACTATGAGTTACATTATATGGATGAAACAGTGATTATAATACGTATAAAATGAAAAAGTGGTTAATTAAGAACACGTTTCACTTTTACACAGATACAGGCTGATGTACTGATTTCATAATGGAAATAAAGCAGTTTAAGAGTTTCTGCGGAAACTGGTTCTACTATCTCATTAAAGCTGTTTTTAGGCCCTGGGTAGTAGCAAGGATTGCGGGGTTCTATTTTAATTGTTCTCAATTCTAAACATGTACTACTATAAGTTATATTCTTTAAAGTTATGATCCATAAAGTTTATGTTCCATAAAACTATGTTCCATAAAGCTGAAGATCAGAGTGGCCAATTCATCTGGCGAATATCTTCAATTTCTAGAAAATTGCGTGATCAGACAACTCTGAGTGGGTGTCTATTGTTGGTTAAGGCAATCATAGAGCACTTAGATTTTATCCACATGTCACACACTAGCTAATTGCCCTCTCTAAAGAACATCGAAAGATTTATGATCACTTAGTATGATGCTAGCTAAGAAGACTTCCTCTGCTATAGCAATTGATTATTTAGTTGGTAGGTAGATAGTGAGCGCCTGGCTTGAATAATTCATAATTATACATGTGGAAAGAGCCAGGAATTTTATGCCACCAGATATCCAAAAAAATTGGACATTAAAGCAAAAGAGGTTTGATTGTCTTGATAGGCATAATGTTGAATGGTCATTGACCCATTCATGTCTTTGAAAAAGGTATGTGGAGGAAGTCTTAAAGTTCAATGTTAACCTTTACAGAATGGAATCAGGGGGCGATTTCATTTTAATGGAAAGTGAACAGCCATCAAGCTCGCCTAGTTGACACTTTTTTAAAAAGAGGGGACATTTGTCAAATCGATTTTCTAGCCAGATCTCAACTTTTTTGTTGTATTAAAATCTGGTCAGTTATAAACTGGGCAACCAAATATGAAAATTCTCTTATTTTTGACCACTAGTGTATTCATCTCAAAATTTACAGAAGTGACTAAAGCAATTGCTGTTTTAAAATTGACTAAAATTTGAACAAATATCATTTATCTAACTTAAAAAAATCGAGTTCTAATATTTTTACATTAATATTTCTAATACATACAGCCTTTATTTAAAAGAAAATTTTTTTCAATGCCTCAAATCATAGTATACCTATATTTTCAAGTATAACTGTGATCCTTTTTGCAACTTTAAGGTTCTTTCCTTTGCTTGCAATGCAGTAAGAAGTTGTACATAAATTTTTAAGTTCAATAGAGCTTGATTTGGATTTTTTTAGTTTAATTAAGGGGGACGTTGTTTTTCATCTTTGTAAAAGTAAAGATTACAATAAAAGCAACCATGAATCTGCGTTAAAGTAAATACAAATACCTACTTTTTTCTCTAAAGTATCAATAATATAATGTAGTAAAGTCATATTCCGGTTTATGCTTGATTTTGTATCAGCAATTCTGTTTAAGCTAGATAAATGGAAACCAGAAGCATTTCCTCGTGCACCACGATTCATGTAGTTTCCAAATGCCAGAATTAATTCAAGAAGTCTTTTTAGTCGTTTGCTTCTCTGAAGCTCTTTGGATGCCTCAGAAACAGCTGAAAAATTTTGAATTTTGATTTCACTTTAATGGAAAAGATTTTATAAAGACTATATTATATTAAAAAAAATTTAAAGCAGTAAGAAAACTATTAATTCTAAATCAATTAAAGCTGTTTCAAAAACTAATGTAATGGTACAAAAAAATAAGAAAACAAATTATGTGTGCACTACATGTATTTAAAATGAATGTTGCAAAGACATTCATGCATTTTTCAAACAAAGAGAAAAACTTATCAAACCAGCTATTTCAGATTTAAAAATAAGAATATCAAAGGTTTATAAATAAAATTTAATCGTCCTAATTGTTTAAGATTTTAGAATCTAATAAATAGAAAACTAAAACTAGAACTAATAGAAAACTAAAAACACAAACAAAGACTTTCAATTGAAAAAATAAACTCTAAATGGGGGTAAATTCACAAAAAGATATATTAAACAAACAAGATTTTTCTTTAATTAAAAGAAAGATTTCTTAAAAATAGAAATACTAAAAAATATAAACATTGTTGCTTTTTTGGATAAAGAATGAAAATTTATTTATTAACAATTATTATTTTTTAATTTCGCTTTACCTAAAGATTATAGAGATGTTTACGTTAAAGGATAATGGTAAGAATATATTGCTTTTATAATTGGATGACGTTTATTTCATTGTATGTTTAGTTTTAATATTAAATAGTTATGTAGTGAAATATTTGTAATGCTTATCATGATTTTTTGGTTCTTATTCATTGTTAACTCAAATAAGAATTCAAAAATTCAGAAAAAAATAAATTCAAGTATTTATTCTACAACTTTGTAATAAATCTTCAGAATATTAGAAAATGGGAGTTGGCAGATATATGTGCATTTATAAAACTTTATAACATATAATACTGAAAAAACTTTATGCTACTTAAGTTTAACGAAAGCGGTTGAATGTATTTAAAATTTGGTTACTTTTAATTTTCGAGAATTTATGGATTTTTATCTTTAGCCTGATACAAAACAAAACTTTTTTTTTATGCAAAAATATCAAAAGAATTTCCTTTTACATTTAATAAAGGACAAGTCTTTTGTATTAACAATAATGTGCACTAAGATTCATTTCTCTCATAAATATTTTTTTCTTCATATTTTCCTCCTTGTATCTGTTTTCTTCTCTCATATATGATAAAGGTCACCATTCATTGCATTAATAGATTAGTTACAAAATATTTTTCTTTTCGTTTAATTGCATCAAAATGTAAGGACATGATATTAGAAGCAATTTTCTTTGAATAACACTGACAATAAACAATATTTTAAGCTTGTGAGTACTTATATTATAAGCGTTGTGTTTATTACATTAATTTTGAATTATTTGACTGAAATTTGGGACAAGTATCTGCATTTTTTAATTTTTATTATGTTTAAAATAATATAATGGTAAAATAATGATAATGGCAAAAAAATTCTTTGATTGACTTAATGTTTAAAATTTAGCTGAAAAACATCGACATTATGGTTAAAAAAAATGGAAATCAATGTAGAAAAGAATGTGTAAATTTTCATCTGAAAACTCCTGTATATTTTTTGTAAAAACAAGACTTGTAAATACCTAATACAGCTTTTTCTATGGCTTATTCATCAATAACAGAATATCAGAAATTTGACTTTAGCATCAGAAATTTGACTTTTTTTCAATTTTTGTTTTTTTTTCCTTTTAAAATGCCCATTAAAATGTTCACATGTTACACCTTTGTTTGTAAACCTTTTTACTATGCTTGTAACACACAATCTCTAATCAGCAAATACAGGCAATGGTATAGGTTTGGTTTAAACAAAAATAAATGTTGTGATAGCATTCTGAAAATAGTAACTGATAGTCAAATTTTGACCTTTAATACTAAATACAGGTTTTTAAGTTAATGTTAAAAAGTATGTTTTTTCATCTGATTTGTGTGCAATTACATAATTGTGTAAATTTATTTTGAGATAAAACAATGTTTATTATCCTTATTTTGGCATTTTAATTTAAATGTTATGTAAATTCCTTTGCAAATATTGTTGGTGTAGAACTAAATAATTATAGTTAACTGTTAAAAATTTCTGATGCCCTCACATAAAATTATTTTTACAATAAAATAAAATATTGACAATTTTTAAAATATTTGATGTTTTCCTGGTTTTAACCCTTAAAAATTTCCTTTCGGTGCCTTCGGATTTTGTTTCAGATTTTTTGTTTAGTAGAAACTGAAAGAATAAAGTTAAATCTTTCTCCATTGAAAAAAGTTAAAGAAAATTTTTGGAAGTATCTTTAAAAAAATTTTAAATTATTTTCTTTATTGATACAATCATTACAGAAAATGATAATTTAAAGATTCAAACAATTTTATTTCAATCTTGAATAAACCCTTAATAAAGCTACAGTTTTATTTTTTAGAAATAAATGACATATAGCTATATTTAAAATAGTAAGAAAAAATATATTTCTCTTAAGTTGAAATTTCCACTCAATTCAAATGAAAATATAACTTTATAATTATATAGTGTGGTTTTCATAATATAATTTTAGATAACGAATATTGTATGATAATTGTGAAATTACAAATGATTAGAGTAAAATAATAGACGACTTGAGATGAGAGTTTAATAAAACATGTTTTATAAAGGAACAAATTCAATTGAAATTCTGATAAAAAGGGCTCATTTCCAAAAAGAATGGGAATGTGTTTAAAATTACAAATAAACACTTGAAAAAGAAAAATTATATAAAAGTTAGCAGAAAACTCTTTGTATAAATAAAAGAATTATCAATAAAAGTTTAACTACAAGTATTTCTTCGTTAAATTGGAAATATTCATTTATGATGGAAATATTTTTATTCCAGTTTTTGTGATGAGACATTGGGTCTAGTTTTTATAGAAAAAATAATTATCGCAGTAGTGGTAATGTTCTGTTGTACGTATGTCTTTTGTAAAGAACATTTATTGCCTATATAGAGAGCATTTTGAAATTTACTTCCTTGGCCATAAAAAAAAAACAAAATAAAAGGCTGCTCCCCTTAAAGGGAACAAGAGATGCCTTAGTAAAAATGGTGAAAAATTTGGTCAATAATGGACTGAGGGGCAAAACTCCCTAGTCCTAACTTCAATAATTTAAAATAAGCAGTTACTGAATTGTTCCCAATGGAAAGTTAGGAGCATAGGAAGAGATCCATAGTTATAGATTTATCAAGAGATAAAAATAGCCAAAAACAAAGTCAACCCTGCCTTAATAATATTACATTTTAACTAATTTGGTTGCAGCTAAATCACCAAAAAGACCATGAGAATTAATATAACCCTGAAACTGAAACATTTTTGTTGTAAAAGAAATAAAATAGCTTAAGGAATAAAGAGTTAAAATTAGATTTTGATATTCAATTTAGTCACAACAATGAATTAAGGAGTTATGCATTTGTATTGAATTAAAACATCAGCCGTTACATTGATTGTTAAGAAGAGTATAATATATATTTACTTTTTATAAAATGTAATAAAAATTAAATAATTGGTTTGATTTAATTACAATTGACTAAAGACTAATTGACTAAGAATGACTAAAAAAATTACATTTATGAAATTAAACAAATTTTAAATGCTAAGAAATATGCACTGCCTAAAATGGCACCACATCATTCATAAAAAACCAGCTGGACACAAAGTATAATTTGCAGTAAGAGGAAGAAAAATAGATGATAGCAGAATTCAGTAATATAATTTTATTTAGTATATACTGCTAAGTAAACAATGAGTGAATGACATCATAAAGCTACTGATACACGTTGTATTTTACTGCTTCACAACAATACAGAAAATTAAGTAAATTTATAATGCTGAAATATTATACTACCATCCAAATCTTCCTCTTGTTTATTCCAAAAATAATAATTGATGCAAGATAATAACAGAATATATAAATTAGATAGCATCAAAACTTATGCAAAATATTACAACAAACTCTAAATAATATTATTTTGTACAGAACCTAACATTACACGATGCAAAGAAAACAGTGACTATTTTGACTTTCTAATATTTGAAAGTTGTGAGAAAGTTGGATTTTCTGGCTTTCTAATGTCGAAGTGGCATATAAAAGTTAAGAAGGAAGCTCAAAGTGAAATATAAAAGTTAAGAACATTAACTTAAATAAATAAAAAGAAACAGTTGAATATCAAAACTTTTAAAAACAGGCTTATTTAATAATTTGGCAGAAGAAAATTAAGTTCTATACATACATCAGACTATAAATTGTTAATTATTCATACTATATTCCACTTAAGTCTTTATATTCTGCAAATTTTGGAGTTTGGTAAACATAAATTAAAAATTTGTAATAGACTATTTTTTATTGATCAAAACTTTATACTAGAACTTTATATATAGACAGGTTATGTCTATGAAAATCTGAATAAAATATCAATTCCAAAGCAGGGTTTAAATGAGAAAATTTAAACATCGTAAAAAATGAGTATTGAGAATAAAATTAGAATTACATCACATGCTCACTTATTCCATCAGCAAATATAAAAATTAATGTTATGCATATTTCTATGAGAAGATTTTTTTGTTAATGACCTAATATAAAATATTTAATTTTGAAGAATTTTTTTATAACTTCAAATTTAAAAAAAAAAATATCCTTATCATCAAAACAAATTACTTTGAACAAAAATTAGAAATACGTTCTTAACAAAAATTAAAATAATCATAAAAACGCATGGAAATAATTTTAAATACAAATTATGCATTTTTTGACAATAAAGTATAATAAGAAAATACCTTCTATTTTTGGTTTTGAGTCGCTCACTCTTTCTTGAAATTTTTTTTTATAGAATAAAGTTCGAATTCTTTGTTCATAATGAACAATTCTGAAAAAGAAAATTTTTTAAAGTGAATGAAATTAGTCATTGCTATTTATTTATTAGAAAAATAACAGCATAAATAAAATAACAGTTAAACACTCACAGCCTGACAAAGGCAGGGGCATACGGGGCAGTTGCGCTGGTCCCCAAATCGAATTGAAACTTTATTTTAGGTTACCTTCATTAATAAACTTTTTTTAAACAAAATATCTGTACAGTGTAGAATCCATCAGTTTTATGTTAGCTTATTGGCTTAAGTGAGCCATCGTAATTGCAAAAATGAATTCTGCCCTAATGTCAGCAAGGATATGAATTTATTTTGTGTAGCTAGATGACGAAGTCAACAATCAAAAAACTGCATTTGGCATGGACATAGAATTGTCAGAAAATGAATATCATGGACAGAACGATATTTCGTCTGACCATTGGAGGGGGGGGACTTTATAGCTATTTTAGGTTCTAGTCAATTTTCTTGTTATAAAAAGTATAATGAGGTGAAAAGTTTAAATATCTCCATAAAGTTCAATTCTTCATTAGTGAAGTAGTGAAGCAGAGGAGGGCCCCTAAAGAAGTTTTTGCCCCAGGCCCCAATTAGGCTAAGTCCGGCCCTGCAAACACTTTAAACATTATGAATCTGCTAGATGACTAAATGTACAGAAATCTAGTAGTCACAGAGTTATGCAAAAATTTAACAAAGAAAAACTGTCAGCTAATTCTCTCAAAAACATAATTCTGCAGACAAAATAAAATTTGATCTAATGATCAGATTTTCAAATTTAAGTGATAATATTTGGTTTGATAAACACATAGGATATGATAATAAAGGATAATAATTAACAAAATTATACAGACACATGAAAACATTTTCTTTGAAAAAAAGATCTTTTATTGATGATTGAGGATACTTACAGTGACATATAGGTGGTATGGTGAATTGGGTATTGTTAAGAGAATTGTCAAAATTTTTAACTAATTTTACTTTTTTCATCTTAGGGGTACTGACACTTGTACTATTACTAAACGAAACTCAGTGTCACTACAGCCCATAGAGGGCTGTAGTGCCACGGGCGTCCATGTACTATTACATACTCCTTAAATTTTTTAATACATCGTTCCCATACTAATTTGAGAAATTTTAGCATGTGTTGTGCTTTAAGAATATCAATAGAAAAGAATACTTAATAGAATACCAATAATTTTAAATTTAATCATTGACAAATATTATTCTGCTAAAAGCTTTTGCTTCAATGCATTTTAAAATGAACAAACTGAGAGTATTTTAGTTAATTAATTTAGCATGATTTCATTTTTGTTTCATAAAGCTGCAGAAATGGTTTAAAATAAAGTCAGCTAATTGACTATTTAAATAATTACAAATATTTCAAGTACATTTAATTTAAATAAACTATAACTTTAATCATAACATTAAAAAAGTTGAAAAAGGAGATTCCTGATTGAGATGTACAGGACCTGTAAATTGTGATGAACTAAAAAAAAAACATTTTCTACTTAAAAATCTAAGGTGAATGACACTATTTTAAAAATATATATGATTTTATTTTGATGGCAAAAAAAAAATCTTTATTTGGTAAGGAGCCACAATAAAACAATTTGTATATTTTATCACCTTCAAATAAACTGTACATTTAAAACAATTACATAACATATTTTTAATAAAAAAAATTTCCTTATGTTAAAAAAAACAAGCTACTATGATTTTCTCATTTAAATTAGTTTTTAAACTTATTATTAAATTTTGATAAAATCCAAACTGCTTTGAGCTATTATTAAAAGTTGCTTCGATGTAAAAGTTAAATTAATTTTAGCTATTATCTCATTTGTCTTTAAGTGATTAATATGTATTTCTTACAAACTTTATTTTTACATGCAGTAAAGCATTATTTATGTTTCTCAAACATTTCTTTCACTTATTCATTTATTATTATCATTTATCATCATTTCTTTGATTATAACTTTTATTTATTATAACTGCTATTTATTATTTATCTCTTTCATTTATTTGTCATTTCAATAGTAGTCCCAGTTTATTCTTAATCTACGCAATAAAAAAAAATTTTTCATGATAAAAACTATTGGTTATAAGTTTTATTTTTTGAAGTATATAATTGTTTCACCTGGATTTAAAAATTTCTAAGCAAGGCTCTGAAAAAGAATCCCAGCCCCACAGTTTCACCTGAGTGAGTACCATAAAAAGGTAAGGGTTAAGGATAGGGATTTGTCATTTCAGAATAATTAAATTGTTCCTGGAAAAGGAATGGGGTATGCATAAAAGATCAGTACTATCGAGAAACTTTTTGCAGTTTTATTTAAAAATAACTTCATTCTTGAAATTTCACATCTCTGAGTGCAATTTTTAGAGATATTCCTACAAATCAAAAATTGTTTTAAAAGCACAAAGCAATTTCACTAAAAGCACAAAGCAATTGTAATAGGTGTTTCGCTAACTATATTAATAACTACCCTGATTAATAACTACTTACATCAATAATATTAAATTTAAAACTAATACTTATTATTTTATAATGAATTTATATTTTGTTTACTTTTAAGTTATATGTCCTTTGGCTTATACATTATATTATATCAGTCCCCTGAAAGACATAAAAGATGCTTTACTGTTCTATAATTATTTATTTTGCCTTTCTTTAAAAATGGTAATTTAATGCAAAAAAAAGTTAAGAAAATTTTCTTAACAAGGAACTTTAATTATTAACTGAGACTACAAAAAAAAATTATTTTCTAATATTAAGTCACAAGGAATTTAATATTAAATTGAGGAATGAAGGGAAAATTTCATTCAATGTGAGGCTGGTAATTTTCAGTAAAAATAAATTTTCATTTCGGCAAACAGTTGGATTTTCATGCTATTTCAAGCTTTATTGTATTACAATTCAATTTTAAATATTGTAGAAATAATTATATTAAGTTCTTATTTTCTGTAAAGAAAAATATACCTTAAGTTAAGCTTTAAACAAAATCACTGAAGAGAAAAAAATAAGACATACTTGCTTATTTCAAATAAAAATCTATCAGCTCTAGCCATATTATCAATTTCCATGCTATGTTCTTCCAAAAGGACTTTTTCCTCATGACTAGGCATAAACTTCAAAAGCTTTAAAACAAAAATAATGATATGAAATAAAAGATTATAAGAAAAAGAATAACATACATGTTGTTACGTAATTCCCATACTTAATAAATAGTTTTAAAATCCTTGTAAAAATGAAGCTAAAAAAATATATGCAATATGAGTTGCACAGGGTTCCCACTCTTTTATCAAAGCAAAAATTAAGCACTTTTAAGGACTTTTATCAAAAAAATTAAGGACTTTTTTTGTAGAAATTAAGGACCTTAAAAATGATTATTTATCATCAAATAAAACATCATAGATTAATAATAATAGATTAAAAAAATGGAATAGCTTTTCTTCAACTCAGTCATGCTTTAAAAAATTTAAAAAAAAACTAAATAAAGAAATGTTTAATACAAATAATCTGTATTTAATTAAAATTAAATTGCATTTAATCACCTCACATAGCTTTTAAGAATATAAAGAAAAACTCAAAGAATTCAGATTAAACATTAAAATTTTCTATTTTAAAAATAGAAAGAAATTGTGTTAACAGATAGAAATATATAAATTAAGATGGTAAATTCATTAAATTAATAAAAAGAAACTAACATTAAAGAAACTAACAAATATAAGTTTATTGAGGTTAAGACAATTATTTTAAACCAAGTAAAACCTAATTATAATAAGCTAAAGATTTATTAAAATCACAAAATATAAAAAATTTAATGATTAAAATCAGAATATATTCAGTACCTAATAATCAGGAAAAAAGAAATAAATAAACTACAAGGAAAACTTATTAATTAAAATTAAGAATTGAGAAACAGAAATGATAATTAAAATAAGTGCTAACATAAATATTGAAACACAGGACAAGGCAGGATGTAATGATCAATTGAAATAAAAATGAAAAAATTCCATATCTAAAAATTGAAAATGAAATGAAATAATTCATTAAGTACAAAATTTATTGTGAATGAAGGGAAA